CAATATCATGCAACTAACAGTTGACATATAGAACTACAACTGTCATCTATAATTTGAAAAAATTAACATATTCAGATTAGTAGCATATTTTATTTAATTGTTAGCCAATCAATGTCACTGTCACCCACTGACTACACAGATAAAATATTACCATAATTCCAGGCTATTACACAGAGAAGGAAACCAGTGGAGGGATAATCTCATGCCCAGGCTACTGAAAATAAAATTTCATATTACTTACCCTACTCCTAGGGTTAATAGATGGGTTAAGATAAGAGATGGGATGAAAACGCTAAGAAACTCTGTAGAAAATATTCCACTCTTCATGGCTTTACTTTTACGCATGCTCAGAGACTTTCGTTCTGGGTGTTTAAACTTGAATTCTCTGCAATTAAAAAGAATATCATTTTAATATTGTAAACAAACATATTTGGAAAATTTATACCATATCCTGGCTCTTGTTTGAATACTGATAAGTACTCAATGGTGATTAATACGCAGGTGAGCCAAAGCTAATGATAATTAAAATTCATAAACTATATATTCTCTGTTTACCCCCGGTAGTTAACTTTTGGGGGGCTCACCGTATTTTCACATTTCTCTGTTAGTTATTCGTTGCTTTAGTGCAGCTTAGATGGGATTCGGTGAGCCCCCCTATTGGCAATAAATATATTTTTCATTGTACATGTACTACAGTGTCCGCATCATAAATGTCACTAATATGCAGCCACGAAATTTTGGCAGGAATTATTGTGATATTCAACGGATTAAATTCTGCCACAGCCATAAAGAAATTATGAAGTCTTTGTTGATTCATTCCTAAAAGTTCATATTCTCGTATATTTAATATGAAATGACATAGCCATGGGATTTAATGAGTGGCAATGAATAAAAAGAATAATAGACATTGCAAGTTTACTTAACTCTTAAAATTTATGGTATTAATACACAAACTGTTATACATATCTGAATTTCCTAGTAACCCAATAGTTTAAAAAGAACTGAAACTAATGTCAACTGTTACACTGGTGGAATATTATTAAGTGATTATTTTCAAATTTTGTCATAAGTTATTTATTTACTGTCCAAGGCTACTCATACCTGAAACCACTGAATTATCTCCATTGTTACAACAACTGATTGTGTCAATATTGAATTGTTGACTGAAACTCCTAAGACCGAATACAATGAATATTATTTACAATTACAGAGTTTACATTACCTTTTATCTACAATGATAAATTTCAGAAATATGAATACTTTAAACTGTAAAGCTATTATTTTTTTAACTCTTTGAGTGCTATAATTTTTCTATCAAAATGTTTGCGCTACATTTTGCCTTGTTATGTATTTTTAATAAACAAATGAACATAATTTTCTATTGGCTACAGAACTTGATTGAAATGTCAGGTTAAAATCAGAAAAAGGTTGACAGTAGTTTACTTTTGTGCTCAACAGAGTTAATTAAAAACTTCCATAATGACAAGTCATTGTCAATGACACGTCCCCGTTCCGTTCATATTTGAGTGACATATACATTCAAAGCAGATCATGACCGAAATGCACCTGCATATGTACAACACATTGTACTAAATCTGAACAAAATCCATGCATGCATGACTGAGATCCGGTTCTGGAATTGTGAAAATACGTGATTTTAATGCATTTTCGGCCTTAAAATGGCCATCATTCAGCTATTGCTAAGCGGATCATGAAACAAATGCACATATCTATTTGTGACATGATGCACCATGTGTGTGTGAAGTTTGAACTTGATCAATCCAGACATGTCTTGGATACGGATCCAGAACTGAATTCTTTAAGAAAATGGCCGCCAGTCGGCCATTTCGAACTTGATCCGAAAAAAAAAATGACGTGCA